CCATCATGTTTCTTGTTCACTTGACTTATTCAACGGTGCAAGGTTGGCTGCACAAATTATATTTTCAGGGCTCCTCTTGAATGATAACTTTCAAAACTGAAAGGAATTTACTTACCGGTACTATTCGAAGCCCTATATGCTTCGAGTAACTAGCTTCAAAGAAAACTTGTAATTACTTACATATATACATACATAATAATCCTCTTCTAACGCAAATACAACCTGGATACCTTGTTAGTCCTCTTAAATATTATAAGTTCTATTCGTTGTAAAGATAAATTTTCAGCACTTAATTAGGCTCTGCAATTACCGGGTTCGATTCCCGTTTCAAGATAGTTTAGACCAAGGCGAGGTCGAAAGTGTAGTTCATCCTGGATGTGAAGAGAGGTAAGCAAGGCTAAGTTAACTCCATGGTTATAATGAGTCTTACACCCACACTTATAAAAAAATTCAACTAACAACCTCTTCTCATTCGAGATGTAATGATGCTCTTGAAATAAATTTCTCCCGTTACTTCTAAGTTAACATAATTTTTGGATAAGTATTCTTAGTCAAAAATGGGATTATTATATAATTTCCTCTATACTAGTTCTGAATTATAGCCTCACTTGTAAGTATCTAGCATCTATTTTCATGACTACTTGATGGATGAATATGTGTCATTATTCGGAAAATTCTTATTGAGCATGAAAAAAAACGTGCTTTCTTTGCTACATAAGACATGCAAAACAAGTATCTATAGTAATGCCTATTGATACTAATTAAAAGCTGTTGAAAGATAAAATCTATAAACTCTAAGAAGTATTTGCGAAAATGTTAAGGGAGTATACACAAAACACGCTTTTTAATCAATACCTCCTAATGAGTTTCTTTATGAGAAAGAACAAGGATTTGATGATATTTCCTATTAAATCCAATGGCATAGCCTAACTTACCAACTTTATCTTGAATAATATTATTTGATAAATAGTTTTAGAAATCCGTTGTTACTTTAAGAGACAACTCAATTATATATGCTAATAGGTATAAGATGTCCCACTCGTATCTACAGGAAACAAATATTCTGGATTTAATGCATCCGGGAAGAGTAAATTTACAGGCATGACTCTTGACTGCCCTAGTTACACGTCCTTTTTAATTCTACTGTGAGTTAAGCTGATTTGTAAAACACATTTTTTCAAAATTTTAACTTTTCTGGTCAAAAATAAAAATAGTATATCATACTAAAAAAAACACTTGCCTACAATCCATAGAACAATGCAAATTTGAACATGTGTGATGATCATTTTAGACGGTCGCAAATTTCTTAGTATCCATGCTCTGATTCTTGTTTCTTCATCTCGTTCAATTGCAGTCGTCGGCCACGCCATATTTAATGACCCTGCACCCGATAACTCCTCAAAGCTCTGTTTGTTTTCCAGGTCTGGCTGCTGACCAAACATATTGAAGGCTTCCACATGATTTTCCATGTTTAAAAGGGCTCCTAAAACGGATCCTGACTCAACTCCTTCCTTTTCACCCCTCCGCTGAAATCCATCATCTTGCTTACCGCCTCTGATTTCCTCAATAAAAGAGTCATCGACTGGAAGGTAGATTGATCGTCTTGGTAACCTAGCAGCTGAATTAGTTGTCGCACTAGCGGCAGTTGACGTACTAACTGACGTAGTAGCTACTTTGCTAGAAACTGTGGTAGCTGAGTTGCCCACAGAACTTGACGATGTTGTGGTAGTTGTCGCTGCTGAACTTGCTTCCTCATCTACCAAAGAGGCTTGTGCATTTTCGTCAAGTCGAAATGTGGCAGCGGCGAGTAGAATAAGAAATAAGAAGTGGGAGATGCCGTGTGTAGCAAACTTGGCTGCTGGACAACGCATCGCTCGGGCCAGCTGCCAAAACAAGAGTATTTTTAACCGAAAGTAAAAAAATAATACGCGTAAGTACCACCCAAATGTTTCGATTATCCAATTGGTTTATCCAAAATAGAAAACCAATACACATGGTCTATGCTTATACAATATTTTAAAATTTTACTACGTAAGTACATGCAAATATAATAAAAAAACTTCTATTGTTTCTATTCCCCCTATTTCTATCTTTTCAATTCATTAAGCCACCTGTCTGATCCGCCCATTAGGATTGTGGTTTCAATGCAGAAAAGATTTTTAGACGAGCAGCATGAATGACAAATTCTTACTTCATGTGATCAAGTATGGCCCATAGTCTTTACATTTTGCTTTGCTATTTATGCTGATACGATTAAAGGAGTGACTTATGCACATAGTTATCTTTGTACAACATATGATTTGAAGTTCATAATATTAGTAAACATTATGTCTCTCGTATGGTTAAACAAAGTAAATTTGATGCATCTGATATGCCTTTAGACGTCAGATTGAAAAGTCAAATCTAGCTTCATGTTTAAAGTCAAATTGTTAATTTAAATTAGAAAATTACACAATAAAATAAAAATATAGAGGATGCTATACTATGGGTTAGGCATGGAGTAATTTTGAGAATACATTTTCTGTATTTCAAGAGAATACGCTTCAAGTAAAATTTATATGCGTCTATTAGGATTCATTCTACTTTCAACATGTGGAAAGTAGAATATGATGCTAACTAAGAAGTGAGTAGTGCTACTTGATATAAACACCATCAAAAATATAAATATCATGTTTAAATTTTACTTCCAATTTACTTGCATAGTGTCCTATTTAGTAAGCAAGTTACAGGTAAATATCTTATTAATTCACTTTACTTTTTCATCAATAATCGACTTTACTATGGAGCTCAGAAAAGGGTAAGCAGTTATCTTATAAGAAATAAAGAAATACAATAAGATGCAATTTTAGATCAAAAAAGGTATGAAGACCAAGATGGTGTGGCCTTTTGTGTGGTCACCGTCTCCTTTCGTTGTATAGAATTTGTTTGATCTTGTTTTCGCAACTCGGTCATATTGGTAGGAAGACTTAGAGAAACGCACCTAGTCCGGAG